GCTCCGATCAGAGTTCCCAACTGCCACAAAATCTTCTTCTTCCTGCTCCACGGCTTCTTGCCCCAGAAGGTGCAGCCAGATGGACTGATGGAGGGAAAGAGGGAGGAGAATGCACAGAGTTAGGTATCTACATTTGAAGGATCGCACGCAGGTCTGTAAAGTTGAACAGCACGTGTGAGTACCTGAGGTAGTGCAGATCGGAGATCTCCTTCATGCAGAGCCAGCAGAACTCGCAGCCGCAGACGGCACAGGTCATGTGATTGCAGCTCCCGTCGTTCATCTTGATGATGTAGGCGCCACAGCGGGGGCATGGCTTGATGTCATCAGCTGGAGACAAAGAGATGAAATATTTTTATTTTTTATTATTTTTTATTAATCCTTTATTTATCCAGGTAAAAAAAAATCTCATTGAGATTAAAAATCTCATTTCCCAAGAGAGACCTGGCATCATGGCAGCAAAAGTCACATACCACATAGTTATATAACATTTAAAACTAACTAACTAAAAATATGAGCTTAAGAGGTGCAGGGACGTTTTGTTTGGTGTGAGAATGTGTTTTTATTCAGTCTATTACGACCACAGATAGCATTTCAGCCTTTTCTAGCGCTTCAACCATCAGTTAACCTTTAAGGGAAGAAACTGTGGCACCACAGGTGTGGATGCAAGTGTTAGCGGTTCTCTGTCTCTCTGTGTAAGCCTCGTCCAGCACGTATCCCACTAAACTGCTAAGAAATAAGTTGGATGGACACCCATCCTGTATATCAAAGCGTCCTCCGGTCGCCGGTCTTTTACAGCTATTACAGGCATAGAAGGATTAAAACAATAAAACACAATATATGTTTCTCCAATAATGATGTGAAACTCTTGATCTTTGTTTTTACTTATTATTGTCTTTGGAGGAAATGACACTACACCCACGGTGTGGGTAGTGTCTGTATTAAAACAGAAATTCCAGTAAATCGTTTTAACACAATGTCAGGTGCAGTTTTTAACAGGAAGTGGAGCTGGTGTGTTGTTGTGGAAAACACCCTGGGAGGAAAACAGCAAACGGGACAAACTGAACGCAAATGTAAGGTGGAAAACACAGACCTGTGTCATCTCCAGGCAAATAAGTCTCACTGGGATTACTGACCATCATCAAAGAAAGCCAGAGCAGTAGGACAGAAGCACCCACACAATAGCAGGAAATCTCAAACGGTACTCGAGCTTGGCTTTAATATTCTGGCTTCATTTCATCATAAGGCCAAACTAGGAAGCCCGTGTGGGTGTCTGCGTCATGTCTGCCTGTCCAAACTAATACATAACCCTGGAGTTTCCAAACCAGTCTAAACAAGTCTCAATTTTCCACATTAGTTTCTAACATCTTTCAACTTTCTTGATGAAAAAGAAAAATCGAATTAGAACTTAAATAACAGAAAAACTCCAAAAGTGCTCTCTTTGGGTCTTTTCCTGAGGGTAATAAGCTCAAACCTCATTAGAGTAATGGATCATTAGGCTCGCTGCGGCACTTTGTCCTCTAATGCATTTTGAGTCAATTCGCTGTGAGTTTGAATTCTGGTTGCAGGGAGCGCTCTCTGCTCTTTAAAGGGCATTTTGGCATTTTAACTTGAAGTGACTCTGGCAGATGTGGTTGATGTGTGCGTGTAGGAGTAGTTGTTATTGTTGCTGCGCTCTGTATTCTGCTGACATCACTCTGCTGCTCACTCCCTCTGGTATCTCGCTTTCGTCCTCTCTTTCTTCCCCTCCTCTCTCTTCATCTTATCTCTATATATTTCCCTCCATATCATATCTTCTTTTTCTCCTCCTCTCTGTGTTTGTCTGAATCCCGTTGACTAAGCAGCAGGTATCAGCAGACAGACAGACAGGCTGACACAGAGGGAGAGGCCTGGAGTTTTTTTTTTTATGAGTCAGTTTCGTGTGCTTGGATTGCTGTCCGTCCTTCTGAAGCGTTGGCACAGAGAGGCGAAACTGGAAGCGGCGAATTAAAGAGAGAGAGAGATGAGGGCAGCTGGAGAGATTTCCCTAATAAATGTTTAATCAAAACAGGATTAAAGGCGCGCATGCAAGTAAGAATGTTTGCACACGAAGGCTGTTGTTTGTCTGTAGAGATTTTCATGATTGTATCTATTATCACTACAACAAGTATGTTAGGGGACAAAATAAACAGTTTTCTTGCTAAGAGCTGGATGAGAGGAGGGAAAACTAGTTAAATATGAACCAGCAGCAGCAACGGGAGTTAGCTTAGCACCGAAACTTCAAATTGACCAATTAGCATGTTCGTTGGAATATTTCTTTATTCCATGTAAAACAGAACAGCAGAAGTGAGTCTAAAAATAGAAAATTGGGAAATGAGCTAGCATTCAGCATTTCTAGTTCCCTTTTATGGCCAAATACGCAAGTAACATCCATTCTTTCAATGCTTTAACAAGCTAAATGTGGCTGAAAAAGCTGCTCTGAACATTCGGTTCAGCAGAGGAGTTACGCTGCACCTGTGGCATAGGTACACATTTCAACCATACGGCCCGAGGGCCCGGAAAAGCTCGCCAAAGGCTACAGATCGTCCCACTGGACGGTTTTAGGAAATGTGACAACTGGAAAAGAAACGGAGAACACTATTGCTACAATATTTAGTTATTTAAATATAAAAAAGAGACATGTTCTGTTTTTATTCACAGGAATTATGAATTAAATGAACTGCCGGTATATTTTAACTTCTTAGGATTTCTTTGCTACGGCTATTTTATTTTATAATGTTGAAAAATTGAGACTTTTCCTTGAATTAATGAATAATTGAGTAGTTAAACCTCTAGGGAAACGGGTGTCTTTTTATATAATGTTAGTATTATTATTATTATTATTATTATTATTATATTAGGAAACACTGTAGTTTCACTTACTTCAACTTACAGCTGAACTGTTTCTGAGTCTTAAAAGAGAAATTACTCCAAAACTTTGATCTAATAAAGTTTAGACTGAGAAATGTTTTGGTGTTGTTTCAAATGCAGGCTGACAGGATGCACAGCACCGCAGTCTTGAAACTACCAAGTGAAGAA